GAGAAAGGAGAGGAAGCTTTGAGACACAGACTCAGGAGAAAGCCACATGAGGATGGTGGCAGAGGTCGGGGCCACTGGAGGCCTCCAGTTGTGCCACAGGATGCTCACATAGTGGTGCTGGTGGGCCTGACATATGCTTTCGGTCCTGAAGCGCCTGTGCTTAGACCAGTCTCAACATTGAATGTACCCATTAGCTCACCCTTGCTGGGCCCTTAGGTGATGGACAGCTGATCATCAGCAGGGCTGGCCTGGCCTTCAGGGACCTGGGGACATTGCTGGAGAGGGGTCTCAGGGAGCCTGGAAGTCCTGGGTCCCTGCCTGTGGGAGGGGAAATATTTTCATAGCCCCCTCCCCTGGCTGGAGCCCCCAGCTGGATGGCTCATATAGCCATGAAGATTCTGGAGGAGAGGTGGTCATTTACTGATGGTTGATAGTATTAAGCACCTTCAAGACCTGAGCGGGTAGATATGAAGTGGTATTGATGGTGTTGAGGACATAAGACATGATGAGGGGATATACTGACATGTTTTGGGCCCTTGAAGCCCCATAAACTTCAATGACACAACCTTTCATATTTTGGGGTTTATCTTATATCCCCAGGCACAGTAATAGGCATTGATTAGGATCTAGGTTTGGCTGGGTATAATAGGCCCCCAACAGCTGCAGCATCAGCCTGGGCTGTTCAGGGCTGATGTGGCAGTGGACAGCATGATAGGTGTCCCCATGGCGGGGGCGGAGGTAGGGGTTCAAAATCCTGTCCCCAAATGTACACACATCACCTCTGTTATGGTTTGAATTGTGTTTCCTAAAAACATATGTTGAGGTCTTAGCCCCAGTACCACAGGATATGACCCGATTTGGAGTTAGGGTCATGGCAGACATAATGAGATGTGCTTTCTGTCCTGAAGCTCTTATCTTCAGGCCAGTCTGAGTGTCCAGCAAGTGAGTGTAGTGACCAAAGATGATGCAGTGACCAAAGTCCCTGGGAATTAACCCACAGCAACTCTTCAAGGAGGTGGTAGAGGTGCCCTGCTGTCCTTGCCAGGTGACAGCGGTCAGCCATCCTGGAATTCTCTTCTCTGCATGTTTGGTGTGGCAGAGGCGCAGATGCTTCCTAGTTTTTACTCTTTCATTCTTCCTTTTAAAACTAGAGCTACCTGAAGACTGTACATTTCCCAGCCTTCCAGGCAACTAGATCTGTCTGGGTGACAACATTGAGGCCTATAGGTTGTGAGTAGAAGTAACTGGGCAACCTCCAGATTGAATTGGCTGGCGGAGTCTGCTTGTGTAAGAAGATGGCTTGTTTTCACTGTTTTTCTTTCTCCTTTCCCACTGCCTGCAGATGAATACAGGCAGCTCATCAGCCTTGCACCCAGAGGGGGGCATCCCATCTTGAGGAACACAGAGCCATCTGCAGCCTCACATGGCTCATTCTGAACATTCCACAGGGAGAAACTATCCTTCTCATTTTAGTCACTATATTTTGAGGTTCCCTTTTTAAGCAGTTTGGCCTCCACCCTTGTACATGTGAGAAAGAGAAAAAAGCTTTAAGCCAGATCAGCAGCTGTATCCATGGGCTAGCCTAATGTGATCTGCTGCAGAAGAAGAAATGGCAGGGACAGTGGCAATGGTTGGTGTCATCAGTGAGTGGGCCCAGGTAGACTACACCACTCCCCAGGCCAGCTCCTCTCACAGGCTGGCTGGGCAGGGGAGCTAAATGTGTACGTGCTGCAAATCCATACCACGTGGGTGTCTGATGGTGGTGCAAGTTTGATTTGGGGCTAGTCAGGGGTTGGGAGACTGGGTCTACACCTTGACACTGCCTGGGATGCCTTAACAAATGCTAAGTTGGGGAACAGTGGCTCAGGCCCATAATTCCAGTGCTTTGGGAGGCTAAGGCAGAAGGATTGTTTGAGGCCAGGAGTTGGAGGGTGCAGTGAGGTCTGGCTGAACCATTGCACTCCAGCCTGGGTTACAGAGTGAGACCCTGTCTCTAGAAAAGGAAAAGACCATCATCTAGTCCCCAAGCTGTACCCCATACCATTATAGCAGCACCACCAGCCTACTCTTTGGATTGAGAAGGAAGCTTCCAGGATTCTTGTGTTGCCTTTCCTGCCCCAGGGCCCCTTCTCATCCATGCTTTGCTGCTGACAGTGTTGATTTCTGCTAAGAAGGAAGACTCACAGGATGTGGTTATGATGTTGTTGAAAGATCTCTTCTCCCCCAGGGTTTCCCAGTGTCTTTCCAGCAAGGTGCCTGGGTCTGTGTCCTGGGCTGCTTCTGGGAATGGGGGAGGGTGATGGTGGAAGTCAGGTGTTTGTTGATTTTCTGAGCCACATACAAGAACTCGGAGGGCTGTCCCTCTGTTGGCCCAAGGAACTCTGAGCAGGTAGCCCCACCAAAGGCTGCTGCTGGGCAGACTGCCCTGGGTATATCATTGGTCTTGTGGTCTAGTAGGGTGTCCTGCCTCTGTCACCTCAGGTCATCCTTCTCCTTTGAAAACAGGGACTCCAGCTTGGCGCCTATAGCTCAACTGGCTAAGGCGCCAGCCACGTACACCTAAGGTGGCCGGTTCGAATCCAGCCCGGACCCACCAAACAACAATGATGGCTGCAACCAAAAAATAGCCGGGCGTTGTGGCGGGCGCCTGTGGTCCCAGC